TATTAAACATCCTACTCTGATTAGCAAGAAAAGAACTGCTGCCTAATATCGTGGAGGTCCCACTTGTGTGGCCAAAACAGCTCTGATGTATCGACTCCACAGGATCTCTATATGTATGATGTGGTATCAAGACATTAGCAGCAGATCATTTAAGTCCTGCAAGTTGCGAGGGACCTCCATGGATTGGATTTGTCGTTCCAGCACACCCCACAAATGCTAAATGAGATTAAGATGTGGGAAATTTAGAGGCCAAGTAAACATCTTAAACAATTTTTCTTGTTCCGCAAACCATTAATGAACAATTTTTGCAGTGTGGCAGAGTGCATATCTTGCTGAGCCGCTGCCATCAGGAAACACCAATGCCACCCAGGATGACACGGAGAGGGTATATAATTTATTGTTGCACTATAGAATATTGCTATTTAATATAACTCGTGTAGTGCATCAATAATTTGACCCTTGGGTAGAGTAAAAATGGCAGAGAGAAATTGCTCTTTTGATCTAAAGGGGCTTCTGCGAAGATGTGAAAAGGATTGCCTTTTTTGATCAAGGTAAGATATTTTACACTTGAGCCGCCTGTATGTCTAGTTTCAATGTAAACTAACTTTGACCATTTGTCCTGAAAATTTCAATTGGTCCAGACATGGTATGCAGCAATCTCTAGGTACGTGGTAAGTGTCAAAGTTACAGCCACATGAATGTCTGGACAAAATGTTTCCCAGCAGAACATTCCCCAGGTAAAAGATGCACAAGCACCCAGCCATCCATCTGATATAAAATAAAACATGATTAATTAGACCAGGCAACCTTCTTTTACTGCTCCATGCACCAGTTCTGATGCATAAATCCCCATTGAAGGTACTTTTGGTGGTGAACAGGCGTCATCATTAACACTGACAGGTCTGCAGCTACACTGACCCATACACAGCAAACTGCAAAGCACTGTGTGTTCTGATGATTTTCTATCATGGCAAGCATTACATTTATCAGCAATTTGAGCTACAGTAATTGTTCTGTGTGATTGGCCAGATGGGCAAGCCTTCGATCCCCACATGCATCCATGAGCTTTTGGCACCCATGACCCTAATGCCAATTTACCAGTTGTCCTTCCTTGCACCATTTTTGGTAGGTACGAACCACTGCATACTGGGAACTTCCTGCAAGACTTGCCGTTTTGAGATGCCCTGACCTAGTCATCTAGCTATCACTATTTGGCCCTTATCAAAGTCATTTAGATATTTTTGCTTGCCTATTTTTCCTGCTTCCAACACAAAAAAATTCAAGAATTGACTGTTCACTTGCTGCTTAATGTATCCCACTACTTGACAGGTACCATTATAATGATATAATCATCGTTATTCACTTCACCTGTTATTGGTTTAAATGTTAAGGCTGATCAGTGAATATTCCTCTACATAATAAATAAAAAAAAAACATTTTTTTTTGCCATACTCATGCATAATAAGGACCTATGTTTGCATGAACAAAACCAATGCAGTTTTAAGCATGTTCTCATTAAGAGGGTATCAGATTTTCCCGTGTTGTTTGGGGATTCTGCTTCCATGCCTGTTGTATATGGAATCTGTGCATTTTTTTTTCAATTAATCATTTATTTTATCTACAAATCAATAATCTAAGGTTAAGGGGGGAATCCTAACACAACAAATGATTGGCTCATAAAGAGCCTCAGGGCCGATCTATAGATGGAGAAACTTTTTGCATGGGACAGCGGGATTTGGCGACGTCCAGCAGAAGATATCATCTTAGGGCAGCAATGTTAGTTTTTGCCCATTATCAAAGCATTGTGCTTACCCTCTGTCAGGTTGTATAAAAAGCCCTTGCTCCTTACTGTTTCTATGAGTATTGCTATGAAAGGAACTCTTAGGCCTGGTCCCAAGTGTTCCTATAAGGGTATGTGGGCCCCAGACACTTTCTTTTCTTCCCAGCTGTACTTGAGAACCTCTGGGGATTGCCCATTTTACACATTGAGCGCCTGACTGGGAGAAACCCTGGAACACTCTGGAACTGTTCCTCGGATTGGGACTGTGCCGAGGTCTGACTGATTTTTAAGTGGGTATCACTCAGTCGCCTGATCTCCAAATAAAGCTCTGTTTGGAGCTGAGGTTGCGGTGGCAAGGATTCATTAGAGTATATATTTGGCTTGAGAGTACTCCCCTCTCCAGAGGTCTGAAAACCCCCACTTTGGAGACCAGGGCTAAACCGCTGCACATGCCTGAAACTTCTCACCGGATGGGAGAATAGTTACGACCATGTAAAACTTTATAACATTGTAACTAGGGTGCAGCTTCTCAGTTCAAGGTGCTATTTGGACAGTTAGGATGCCCAGTGACAAGCTTTCCACAGATATATAGTGTGTTGGGGTACGCTTCAGAAAAATGGGGTTCTGGTAGACATTTTGTATGCTGTGCCTCTAGGACAGTAAAAGCATAGCAGAGAGCCAATTGTGTTAGCTTGGGATAATGATATTAATTCCCGAGACAGTGTGGCGCCAGGGAGGGGTAATTGTACTGTGCATTGCTTTGTAATGACCACCTGCAGGGAGAGTCAACATTGTTCTGTATAACTAGTTGTGTTCTGTACAATAAAGATCATTCTAAAATCTACATTCAGGTTTGCCTAATGTGTGGAGGAATATCTATAGTAAAACTATAATCACTGCTCTACAGGAGAGATGGTCTTCAGAGCTATATTCATGACAGCCTGGTCAGGGGGAATAGGTCCTTAGCATCCCCAGTCAAGTGTTGGTTTCTGGGTCTGAAGTGCTTCAGAGTCCCCTGGTAGTAGCAAGGAAGCTAACCTGGCATAGGTACTCAGTTGAACTACGGGAGCTCTCTCACAGCATTCTTAAATATGGCTGTCACGAGCGTGGGCTATAGGCCCAGCCGAGACAGTGGGGAGAGTGTGGAAGTGACAGGGTTAATGACACCAGACCCCTGGTTACCTGTTGCTAGTCCCAGCAACCACTTAATTAACCCCTGCAATCCCTTCTACACTAACCCCCTTAGTACACACTTTACTGCCACCACCAAGACTTTTAAACCCGGGCGTCTTAGGTTACCCCACACACCGGAGAATTATCGTATCACAGTTCTACTTTTACTGATAAAACACATATAGTTAACCCTTTTTGGTAACGTGTTTACCTGAGCTCTCCTCTGGAGAGTGAACTCATAGAGAACAGAGACACAAGCTGATTAAGTAAATATTTAATCTGACAAAAAAGATTCACAGTGCTGAGTACAAAATACAGAAATAAATGACATACAGATAACAAATTGCAAAACAGTACATAAAATAAAATAGGAGAAAACACAAGAAATGCCTTATATGTAGTTACCCCATATAGCATTCTTGTGGGAGTCTTAGATGGTAAAGGTCTCCTAGAAGTTGCTGACAAAAGAAAAATGAATAACTGACTGGATAGTCCAGCACCCTCATTAATATATCTACTAGTTGTTGCTCAGTGGGCAGACCCCTGGGGGGATCAGAGGGGGTTGGTCTGGCAGTTTATTGCCCACTCTATGAAATTCCTTGTGTCCAGCTCTGGTGATGGCTATCTAGAAGTTTTATGGTCTAGGCCTGGTGCCAGATCAAAGACCACAATAAATGTCATCACAAGGTTTACAAAAAAACAACTCTTAACATATCTCAACACACATCAAACACCAACTCATGCTTTTGGCATGACAATGGCAATTCTACATAAGGATACCAAACTAGGGATATATCTACTGGGCATCTGAATAATCAAAATTAAGTAAAGTCAAATTCTTAATTTTTAGATTTAAGCTGTTTAGATAACTTCCTAAATAAAATTGGTAAACTTATGTGGGATTGGCATTTTTAAGGATACCAAATTAGGGAGTTGTATAGTACATGACTCCTTTATTTGGTACCCTTAATGTCCCTGTTAGGGATGCTAAATTAGTGAGCTATCTACTGACCAGCTAAAAGATAAACATTAAGAAACTCCTTTTCATTAATTTTGGTCTTTCACCTGTTTAGTAGGTTGATCACTAATTTGGTACCCTTATACCTTAATGTCAATATTAAAGTGGGATAAAAAACCCACAAATAATACTTTACCAAAACATTAAAATACTGTTAAAGAAGTGCTAAATCTCTGCTGCTCTCTATTAAACCAGGAGTCACAGAAACATATCATTCACCTTAAGTCCCACACCCACTCTCTTAACTGGATCAAAACTATGATCAAAACTATGAGAACCTAAAGTCTCCGGGTATCTTAGATAAGGATAACAATACAGGCAGCACAATTATGGTTGCAGGCATAAAATAAAATGGGACGAAACAAAACACTAACACTTACAGTTTCTCAATTTCTTAAATTGTCTTTAAATTTGCACCCAAACCAACCCTACAGCCAAAAGACATACAAAGGCCTTCAGCTCTGTAGTTTAAACAGAGCGTTTTCCCCACCGTGGTTCATTTTCTCCAATTAGATTGCCTCATGCTGGAATGCTATGCTAAAGCACCCCAGGAGGCCATGGTTGAAAAAATCCATCCATGGCATTATTCATTCATTAGTTCATTCTTCCATTATGCAATTCGGTGGTTCAGTGATTCAGGATTTGGAAGAATCGTAGTTCGGCCGAATCAAAATGTACACATCTAGTAATGAGCAATAAAGGCTATGTGTTAGTTTATTTCTCAAACAATGTTCCCAAAGAAAAATATATCTCAAAAAGATAAATCCACACAAAAACTGTCTTTCTGCAAAAATCAAAAATAATGAAAAAGGACAGTATAGAATTGAAAGAGACAGTAGACATGATGTTTCTTAATTAATGTACTGGTTCCAGTGTTTGTATTATAATCTATGGAATTCATTAGACCAGGGAGGCCTTCCACAGCTTTAACACATGCGTTATGTATTATTTCCGCTCATCTTTGCTGGTGGTACTCCTCATATGCCTTTGTATGCAGTTTAACTTGGTCTCTTTTGGTTTTTCACTGTTCTCTTTCAGTCATTCCATCATTTCTTGAGGCATTTCATTGTCCTCTTGTGATCTCCACATTGTCAAGTTCATACTTGACGTTCTGCCAAGTTTGTCGGTTGCAATTTCTTGGCTCTTCAATGACAAACAGGCATTTTGGGGCCATTTACCATTATCAGTTCAGCAAAAAAAAGACTCTACACCTTATGTCAAACAGTCAGTTTTAAGCAGTCAAAATATTTTTGAAGAAGAGTTGTTGTTACTTAACATGACTGTTGCACAGTTAGAGAATTCAACAATAAAAAGGACTTTAAAAAAGTTATAATAAACACTTTAAACTATAAAACACCACTCCTAACTTGATATTTTTTTTGTTAAATAATTGGAACAATTAAAAGACAAATAAGTACTGTAACAAAATAATAATATAGTCAAATCAATAACACAAGAAATCGATCTATACTCTATACCCACAATGTCGATTTTGTACATGTTTATAGAAACATAAACACACGCAGTGTTAATTTGGAACACAAGAGGTTTAGGACACACATCACATATTAACATTACCACTACACTGTAAAAAGGGTCAGACAGGTAAGCCAATATTTCAGTGATAGATTACTTTTGCTTGTTTTTAATCTCATGATCCAATTATCAAACTTGAGATCATGTGATTCATGATGACAACTGAAGTAAAGCCCAGTCAATAATGATTTCTAATGTTGGTGGCATTACTGTAAAAAAAAAAAAAAACTTGCTACATTTTTGGCTTGTGATTGTGCTGAAATCCCTCATGTAATATTGTCTGAATGCCAGAAACATTATTGATTTAATATCTATTCTGGATGATACCAAATTGTCAAACTAGTACAAATTACCACTTGTCTTCTTTTTTGGCCTAAGGTTGTGATTTCCTTGTTAACTGTTAACAGTTATCAGCTTAGTGAATAATATTAACAGACACTTGATGAACTTAATAGTCAAACCAATTAATAGTTAAATCATTGCTTTTAAATGTTTCTGGATTCTTTCTGGAATTGTCCAAAATCCATGGCATAAAGCAGTATGGAGCATTTATAACGGATCAAAATCTAAGCAAATTACAAATCTGTGGGTGTAATACCTGTGGTGGAGAAATTATTTGAAGGACATTTTAGCCAGAATCCTAAATCTCCAAGGAATACTGCTGCTGGTTCTGCTGTTGTTGTGGCCAGGAAAGTGGCTGTAACATCACCATAAGGAGGTCCAAAAGAGCATGGTCTACCACACAAGGGTAAAACTATTTGAAATGTCATAACAGGAGAACCACTATTGCCTTACATCTATTATTATTCTACACCTATGTGACCTCATTAAGTATTGACTTTATTAGAATGACTCCTATCACTGTTACCTGATTGGAGAGGTTCATAAGTATGCTATATTTCATTGGACCAGTTCATGGTGCCTTTGGCACATCACAAACCATATATTCAAAGATTCTGCTCGTGGTGCTGGAGACATTAAGAAGCATACAGTATATTTCACTACAAATGCTTGGTTTATTAATATTTTAAATTTGTGTGTCTTTTTTGGAAAATAAATGTTTAAAAACTCTTGAGTATCCTCATATTGAGGGGCTATACCTAAGCCTTAATAGGCGTAATTGTATGCATTACACTGATCAGCCACAACATTAGAAGTACTGATAGGTGAAGTGCATAACATTGATTTTATTGTTACAATGGCACATGTCAAGGGGGGAGGGATATATTAGGCAGCAAATATTTTATGTATTGGATGCAAAAGAAATGGGCAAGTGAAAATATGTGAGTGACTTTGATAAAGGCCAAAAAGTCATGCCTAGATGAAGAGCATCTCCAAAACGGCAAGTCTTGAGGGAAGTTCCCAGTATGCACTGGTTAGTACCTACCAAAAGAATGGCATCACAGTTTGCTATGTATAGGGCTGCATTTCCGCAGACCAGTCAGAGTGCCCATGATGAACCCTGTCCATGGCCAAGAGCACTTTCAGTGGAGACGTTAGCATCAGAACTGATCCATGGAGCAATGGAAGAAGGTTGTCTGTTCTGATGAATCACGTTTTCTTTTAGATCAGATGATTGACCAGAGACAGTGTTATGCTCTGGGCAATGTTCTGCTGGAAACTTTGGGTCCTGGCTTTTTATGTGGATGCTACTTTGACTCGTACCACCTACTTAGAGATTGTTGCATACCACATACACTCCTTCATGGAAATGGTTAATGCACCCTGCCACACTGCAAAAATTGTTCATGAATAGGTTTGAGCTGCAGGAAGAAGAGTTGAAGATGTTGCATTGGCCTCCAAATTCACCAGATCTCAATCCAATTGAACATATGTGGGATGTGCTCAAACAACAAACCCGATTCATGGAGGCTCCACCATGCAGCTTGCAGGCTTAAAGAATCTGCTGCTAATGTCTTGTTGCCAAATACCACAGAAAGCGTTCAGAAGTTTTGTGGAGTCGATGCCTTGACACAACAGAGCTGTTTTGACAGCACGAGGGGTACCTACACATTACTACGTAGGTGGTTTTAATCTTGTGGCTGATTAGTGTTTATAGAGCTTGATATAAAATATGAGTGCTTCTGTATAAAATAGTTTTTTTGGTTGCACTATGTTTTTTTTCCTCTCTATTATGATACAACCTGCAAATATGATGCATATATGATGTTGATCCCTATTTAAGTGATTGCACATTTTCTTTGTATTCTTCTATTTTATTGTACACTATTTTTATTCACTTTATTATAGTTATTTAGTGTAGATTAAACACTAGAGCTGACTGCTGCATTAGCCCTGGAAGTATTGGAGATCTGGAGGCAACCTTTGGAGTTAAACCATTCAAAAACGGTTTAACCCCTTCAGGTAATAACATTTCTATAAAGTTGTTATGGTACCTGGAGTGCTCTTTTAAAAGTGTTTTTTTTTACTTTCTTGCAGCTATATTTGAGGACAAGGAATAAATTGCTAATACATCCAAAAACTTTATATCCATGTTCAACCCATACTCCTTACATTTGCACCTGCATATTTGAATAAAGTCCTTATTATATTACCTATAACTTACCCCTAGTTATATTTTATTGTCAAAATAATGTACTACATCATGAAGATATTGCAAAATTTGGCAGGCATGCGGGTTAAAAATCTAAATAAATTCTGCAAAATGTATTTAGTTATATATCCCTGCGTGCAATTTTACTGGATTACAGCTAACTAACCATATCTTTTCTTGTACGATGACTACGAGTGATGTATAAATGAGAGTCTTAACGTAAACCTGGGTTGGAAAATACCAAAACCAACAGTTAAAACTGTGCAACTAGAGAGAAGACATTTCTTCAAACTTTAACAATGTTTATTAAAAATCAAAACTATAGCAGGAGACAAAGATGGACTATTTTCTTTTAAGGGGAGTAGCAAAAATGATTTCACTTTTGATTCTTCTAGTAATTCTTGAGCGTGATTCCGTTGTGCCCACTGGTGTTTTAGCAGGTAAAACAAATGTGAAGCTTTGTTTTGCAAACAATGCATTAACTTAAGATGCAAATGTTTCTCATGCTTTTCATTCTACACCACTAGGAGGTAGGTGCTGACACTCATTGAGATGCTTTGTGTGAGGTCTCCATCTTTAAATACTAGCCTCCAACTAGGAATTTGTTGAAAATAGATAAATACCATTATTCTTTGGTAAAGTGTTAGTAAACACAAAACATTTTAGACTACCATCCCATGCTCCCTGCTCTTTTGATGCCCATGATTTGTATTCACTTTTGACACATAAAGATGTTTATATTTTTTCAATAACTTCACAGGAGGTTTTCATTTGATTGACTAGATAACAGACCAATCGATCTGTTAATATCAGGCATGACATTATGTGATTGTAGTAGATAGTCTATCATGATTAAATGAATGTGTCCAGTCATTGTTTTTCTTCTTATTGCGTCGGGTATCTATTTTCTCTGATGGCATAAAAGGAACATGTAGAGGCAAAATGAATGAAAACGGACAGTAAAAAAATTGAAAGAGACAGTAGAAGAAATGATTTATAATTAACTGATTCCAGTTTTTGTATTGCAATCTCTGGAATTTATTAGACCAGATAGATCTTACACAGCATTGAAGCACGTATTAAGAATGATTCCTACTCATCCTTTGAGGTGGTCCTACTCATGTTCTTTCGTAGGAAGTTTAACAATAGTCTATTTTGTTTTTCACTGTTCTCTTTCAGTCATTCCATCATTTCTTCAGCATTCTCACTGTCCTTTTAGTGACCCCCGCATTGTTGACTTCATCCTTGATCTTCTTCCAGACTTATGGTTGTGGTTAATTATACCACAGGCCAGTTATAACATTTGGCTTTTCATGAAACATATGGCCCAGTCTTGCTACTTCTCTACATGCCATTCATTCTTCAGTGTCCATATTCAGCCACCTCAACCAATCTCTTGTCCATTTGCTACCATTGCCCTCACATTGTTGAAATAAATTATAAATGTGTAATATACATATTTTAGAAATCTACACGTTTTAGAAATCAAAAATGTATTGCAGTGAATGTGCATGTGTGTGGCTATATGTATATGAAATCAATGTGCTATGTGTGATTCTATCCTCTACATCCCTGTACTGTACCTCAAATTTCCACCACTATTTTCATTTCCGCCTGCTCTACTAACCTTTGTGCCTAAGCTCTATGATCTAGCTCAAAGCAATTGCGATCACAGGCAAGGTGTAACTGTCATACACAGGACTTTTCATTTTCAGTTAGTGATGTGTGTTTGATTTGGTTGACACCAATTGATTTGAAGATGATGGAGATTGATTGGCTGTTTCCCTTGGATCTCACCACTTTATGTTGGGACAACTGTGCCCAATATGACTTTTCCAGGCCTCTACCAGAACTTTAATTACACTAGAGCTGGCTAGACATTCATGTTTATCTAACTGTGAGCTCTGCTAGCAAAAGGGATTAAGTTTATTTCTGACTTATAAGTCTAGATGAGTTTGTGATAACAATAAATAAACTCTATAATGTTAAATATAATGTTACTCAGTTTTTGCATTGCCTACAGTTAGGTTATTGGGCTATCCTATATGCAAAATATAATGTAGGGCAATGAAGTAGGGGAATAGACAATTGTCTATTGCCTTAAAAGAGGTAAGCAATATAGAGAGTGTAGCCAACAAAAAAACAAAACCAAGCATAGGACCAGAGGACAATTCAGATCTTAACCAAATAAACTCCACTGCAAATGGAGTTAGCAAGTAGCTACCAAGTGGCAATTTCTCAGTAGTGATGATGATTTATGTAGTGTAAAGGAATATATAATTTTTGTACCTTCAAAAAGTCAATATCTGTGTTGGGACATGTAGATAAATGTTTGTATATAGAATTACAAAAAGCAACTTACATTTAATTGATGTGGTCAGACAGTGACCATTGTCCGAATATCGACACGTTTGTTTGAGAGCATGAAGAATTTAATGTGAGTGCATGTGTGATCAAGCATGTGCAGAGCAGTGGCTTAGGTAATCTCACACAGTTGGTTAGGGAAGGTTAGCATTAATATGGCATGCACACAAATATTTGGACAGACAGAGGAGATATGTAAAATCCTTGTGAGAGCTCATTGGCTGAAGGCATCAACTACAGTATCTTGAGAGGGGTTATAGTTGTAGTATAGAGGTTTTTAGGATTATTGGGTTTAGGGGTAGAGTGCTGTTAATTTTAATATTTGAGTCCAGGGTTCATTAGGAATATTGGGTTTGTGGTTAGAGTTAGGTTACATTTTGTATTGGTGTACATGAGGTGTTTAGTTTTTAGGAGGAGCTAAACATAGGTGTAATGAATATGAGTTTATTTTCATGTTTAGGCTTTGATTACTTGAATTTAGAACTAAGGAAAGGGTTTCTTTAGGTTTTCAAATGGGTTAAATTTAAGGTTAGAGGAAATGAATGTTTATTGCATGTGGAGATTGAACCTGTTGCTACACAGTTTACCCCATTACTAAAGAACTGGTACAGGATACTCCTGGTATCATAATCACAACAGCAGGCTATAGTGATTATGATGATTGAAGTAGCCCTTTAAATAGAGAACACTGGCCATGCCTCCGAAACGTTATAAGTGCCGAAAACAGGCACTGCCTAATGAGACATCCGGCCTTGCATTGATGGAAACATCATACCATTTCTATAAATTGTAATGCACAATGTTAATGACAATGAAGTGCGTGGCTCCTAATCATGCAATTCCTGGGCTTGCAAGAGTAAAAATTAAACTCCATGCAGCATGTGTTATTTGCAGCTGTGACCATTAATCCAATTTCTCCTCTAAAAGAAGGAGGAATACATACTTGGAGAGAGTTTGGTGAAACAAAAATTCTTACATGTTGCCCTTATATGGCTCTAATATTAAAGGAACCCAAATCCTACTCTAACCCATCCATGCATCGTGATCTATCCATGAAGTATGAGGGCCCTTATCATAGCACACAAGATAAGTGGGTCCTAAACTCCTGGTGGCAGCTGCTATTTTCTGCAGTCATTTCAGACCTTTCCCAATAATTATGTGTAATTATGAAGACAGAAACAACAAAATTCTGTTTTCTGACCTCCTCTGCCAACATATCATTATGGATACAAGGCTGTTGAGTATAACTCCCATTCATTTTGAAAAAGTAACAATAAGTAGACTGGCAATATACAGTTCACCAAGACTGTGTGTGGGGTGCAATCCACAGAGTCTTTGCTCAGAGAGTCAATGCACAGCAGTCAAAAAGATAAGCCAACAGACCAAGAGAAATACATTTTTATTCCATCATCAAGTGAACCTGGAAAATGGCAAATGCTGGGTCTACTTGATGGTTAAATACAAAGCGTCTTTCGAAGAGGATTTTTGTCTAAACATTTTTAGGATCATTTGACTGCCACGAATTTTGGTGCAGCCCTATGTTTGAAGGAACCCTAACCATAGCCCTAAAAGTTAAAAAAATCAAAAAAATCTTAACATGTTTATAAGGGAAAACAAAGGCATCTTGGGGTTCTGGACATTTTCAGTATTATGGTTTATCATTATCTCTCTACAATTGCTAAAAATGCTTAATAATCTTGATGAGATTGATGCCAAATTACATTTGATTTTTAAGTACAATGTATTATTTTACATGCTAAGAAAGAGCGATTTAAGACATAATTCTTTATTAAACTGATATTTTTAAAACGTCAATTAGAAAATGTTCTAATGTGCTATAAAGGAAAGACTCAAGATTTGTCCAGTGAATCAAAATTAGATGACTATAGACATAACCAGGCAGACAAGCTATTAAAAGCAAAATTTAGTGGGCCAATACGTTTTTGATAGCAATGGGTTACTGTGGTAATGATTATTTAACCTGCAAAGTGTTGGGTTAAGTATGTGTGTCTATGTAAAATGTAGTTCTTTATTGAAGCTCTATTAGGAGATTATGATAACTGATTTTCTAAAGAAATTGAATTCAGAATAATAAAAAAACGTCTGTCATTCAAAACTGTACAGAATCGTAACCTGCCTAGCACCCAATTATAAAGCATTCAAGCTTCACCGCAAATTTAGGTTTCTACTGCTCCTTATTCTTAAAGCATTTACGTGCCTCATTTATTTCAGAAAAAAAATATTTTTTGAAGAACATTCACTGGAAACAGTGCATCCTAATAATGTAGAATATTTGAGGAAGGAGCCCAAAGAACATTCTTAAGTCCTAGTGTCTCCTTTTCACATAATCCATACTTGTACTTTTACTGTACATACATGTACATCCATTCTAAACAAAAAACAAATAAATTGTTTGTTTTTTTTGTTGCAAGTTTATTTATATCTCTGGATCACTAATATATATCTATAATTTATAACTATATTCATATCATATGCTATTTTTTTTCCATTATAAATATCATGATGACACAGTATACACAGACATTACCTCAACTTGTAAAATAAATCAATTGGGAAAAAAACCTTTTTTTGCAATTTAATCTGTTTTCATTTATTTAATTAATACCAGTTTAAAACCTTGATACATTAAACACTCTTTTTCTCATTAACTGTCTAAGAGCAATGGGACTTTAAAGACTCCCCATATCGTAAACGGAAAGAACTATTTTTTTCCCCCCTTGTATATGAAAAACTTATGACTTTTTTTTTTGAATCTTAAAATATGTTATTTTTAAGTAAAAATGAAAGATAAAAATATAATCTGTAAGTAAGTACAAAGTTAAGGAAAAGGGCCTATGAAAATTCATGACCTGAACATTCTTTCAGGGTCAAGCAATTCATCAAATTCTCCACTCTCTGGTTTCAATTACACAGCTATTGTAGTAAGGACTTATTTTAGCAGGTTCATTTGCCTCAGTGGGGAATACAGGACTTTGGCCTAATGCTTCACCTTTAGAACAGGCCATTTGTGCCTTAGAACAAACACCAATCATCACTCTTTCAGAGAGAAATTCTGTGTTGGAGTGGCCTATTGGATTGGAGATTCTGTCAAGGTAAATGCTTGTCGGCAATGACTGTGGTAGAGTGGCGATAAATCCCATTTTATTGCTGAAAAATTCCAGCATCTCTCCATGCTTGACAGCTCCCTGCATTCTCATACCCATTTGGACAATTTCTGTACAATGTCCATCTGGTTCTTATTACCTTTCAACGTGCCTCTGACTGATTCAGAAAAAGTACAGGTCAGAACCAGGGGACAGAATCCAAGGTGATGGACAAAACAGAAGGAGAAAATACAGAACTCTGATTTAATTAGAGTATGTGGCTCAACATATATTTCTATGCATTAAATCCTATTGACAGAGATGTACCTTAATACAAATTATACGCTCAGCAAGAATATACTTCAAGATATTATTGAAATATTATTCTGATTACACTGTGAGTAAAGAAAAATGAAGGGCTTTGTATTGTGATTATTCGACACACAAATTTAGAAAAATTTAGTAAAATCTCAGAAAATTAACAGGAGGATTAGTCACCCTGGAAATCAGGTTTATTAAGACCCGTAAAGTTTTTTCTGATAATACTTTGGTATAGTTAAGTTAAATAATATGTAAAAGGTAAATTCAAAAACATTTATACACTTGCAAAAATTGAGTTAGTCATTATTTAACCAAGTTTCCAAATAATTCAATTAGCACACTAACTAATGATATGCGTCCTCATGGTATTTAGTTCTACATCTAATACAAAAAAAAGTGTAAATGATTTATGCAATAGGAGAATGATAGTGGCAGAATTTCAACTTTGATGAGATTAAAGTCAATGGGAATTACATTATTTTTAAGAACTGGTTGTTTTTTTTGTATAATTTTTGTTTATTTATTCAGTGTTTGATATTTGGAATATCAATTAATGTCACACTATCCATGTCCTTGGAAAATAATTATGTGGCATTATTATTAGTTTCACCCATACACAAGACACCGTCACATTTTGTCACCATGAATGAAGAATACAGTTGGGGTGATTTGAGAACCAGCCTGCAAAACGTATGCTGATAGAGCATAGAAAAAACAATATTTAATTTAGAGTTCTTTCCAATTCATCTAAATTTGCCCAGATTTTGTAAAACGCTTTTCAAATTACATCTTGCTTTATATTGAGTGCAGCATTACCGGTAATAATTTTGTCTATAGGGAGGTTTAAAAGACAAAGAATCAAAAAGGGAAGAGGTCCATTCACATTTGTGAGTTAAAGGACCACTATAGTGCCAGGAAAACATACTCGTTTTCCTGGCACTATAGTGCCCTGAGGGTGCCCCCACCCTCAGGGACCCCCTCCCGCCCGGCTCTGGAAGGGGGAAAGGGGTAAAAACGTACTTTTTTCCAGCGCTGGGCAGAGAGCTCTCCTCCTCCGATCCTCCTCCGTTCCTCCCCGTCGGCTGAATGCGCACGTGTGGCAAGAGCTGCGCGTGCATTCAGCCGGTCGCATAGGAAAGCATTCATAATTCTTTCCTATGGACGCTTGCGTGCTCTCACTGTGAAAAATCACAGTGAGAAGCACGCAAGTGCCTCTAGTGGCTGTCAATGAGACAGCCACTAGATGATTAGGGGGAAGGCTTAACCCATTAATAAACATAGCAGTTTCTCTGAAACTGCTATGTTTATAAAAAAATGGGTTAACCCTAGAAGGACCTGGCATGCAGACCACTTCATTAAGCTGAAGTGGTCTGGGTGCCTAGAGTGGTCCTTTAACAACTAGTTTGTCATATCTAGGCCACCATAGAAAACCTTTAAAAAAATCAGCTAAGTTTTTTTTCCAAAGTTTGTTATTTTGGTCCTCATATTACATGCCAATTGTCAACTCATTACCACTCTGTTTATTTATTTTACTGTTTGGCCTTAAGGCTTACAATATTGCAAATTTATGTGACTGGTTATATGAAACCTATACTATTAGCAATAATGGAATTAATAGGACTGGATTATAAGATAAATGAGGTTTAGATTGGAGGCATGCACTATTTTATTATTCATATTGTCAGTAATTCATTTTTAAAAGGTAATACTTTAATGCTCAATGTATTTTAAATATAACAAGATGGCGGCAAACATGATAGCCTTTCTATCAGTCTGTTACATTTATTTTCTTTATATTTGTTTTTGAAATTAAAGGAAACATTTAGTAATAATAATTAAAAAAAATGTCACTACTTTTTATAATATACAGAGTATGACATTAAAATGCTCTTAAAATGTATTTAAATTATTGATATAATGTTATCAACTTTTTACTGTGGCAGCTTCGTAAAATACTGCATTATAAATAATTCTTTATCACAATAGTATAATCAATCCTTAGACCAGATTATAAATCAAGAGTTTCATTAACTGCTGATGGCTAGTTTAAATTGCAGCGCTGTCCATAATGTCTGTCTATGTGTGTTCAAACTATATTAAAACCCATTAAATGGTTTTGTAATATCATCTACCTCTAGCTGTTAGTATAACTAATGGTACTGTTTTAGAAATCAATATACATATACTTGATAAATTCATGTTAACGATACTATTTAGATTAGAAAATATTATAAAATGCTGAAACTGAAATGGTCAGATCATATTTAAAGGTTACAACAATAATTATTCTGCCGTTAGATGTCATATATTTTGAGATGTTTGTTGCTTACCGATAGACCTGTCACACAGTAAAGATTTGGGAGCAATAGGTCAACATCTTATGAATTAAATATTAATATTCATGCAGATACATAGTCAGCAAAAAGTAATTAAAGTCTGTAAAAAATAATAATACATACAATGACAATCTCTAGCGTATGATTAGTTTATAATTTAATATTGTATATATTTTTAATTTTTTTTTACCAGCATTTGGCATTTTACCTAATTGTTTTACACTTGATATAATATTAAATATCTTTTCATTACTGGCGTCGTAGATATTTCATAAATACTGTTAAATCATTCGGAATTTGTATTTTATTTTACTAGATAGAATAAATAAAGACTGCACCTTGATTCTATAAAATTAGCTGAGTACCTTTAATCAAACATAAACCTTGTAACCACCAAAGCGATTCCACTTTTGCAATAACATCGGGTCTTTTTACATATTAATGTTGTGTATCATAACATACGGTTTGTAATATTGCAGAAAATATTACGTCTGTTTATATAAAGAATACTTGTATAGAGAATATCCCTCACATTATGCAGAACATTAAACCTTGGATCCTAGATGACAAGGTGGAGAAATGTTACTTCAATCCTTAGAGAATTTTCTGACATTTTTCTCAGAGTTAGCCAGCCTTATTTAGAGGCGTACCAGAGGCTCATGCAGTCATTCTTGACACTGATGGGTATTTCAAAATGCTACTTAGGAGGTACTAAGAAAAACAAAAAGTTTGCTGCCACTCAATGTATATACATTTACAGTTTGGTGAAAGTGATGCTCGAAATGAAGACACAAGATAAAACCGACGCATAGTATTCTTAGATAATTTAACCCTTTGATTGCCAGAAGAGAAGTAATGGGGTATAAATCTCTCTGGCAGCCAAAAAGGGCAAGCAGACAGCCATCTGGGTTAGAATCCTGGGTTCCTCTAAGGTTTAGATAATAGACAGTTGGAATTGGTAAGCGGAATGCAATATTAAACACCCTCTGAGACTTAATTTAGGTTTTGTGGTTTAAAGTTAAAATGCAAGGCATCGTGATGTCTTTGAAATATGATTGTTGTATATTTAAAAACCATCTTTAAAATGCAGGTTTGTTTACTCTACAGGGATGACTGTGCTGCCTCTTCATAGAGGGAACAGACACAAATAATATCTTTTGAACTGTTTGAAGTGCAAGCAGCATTCAGTGGTAAATTGCTATCATTTTAATAAGAAAGACAACTACTTATTTATATATGGGGCTAAAGCTTGCTCACAGTGTTTATTTTCAACAATAGCTGTCTGGAGACTTGATTAATTGTCAGATGTGGAATTTGAATAATTAGAAAAATGAGTTGTCTGGTTTCATTTTACTGGCTTAGATTAAGGGTGTGCTAAATCTCATTTTACCCGCTTAAAGTGTTTACTAAATTATGTTGTCTGCATTTAATCATTGCTCACAGTTTGCTTTGAGAGGGCATTAAATTGTATGGATTAGAATTAAATATATCAATGGTGAAGTTGAATGTACAACATTTGCCTACATTTATTTTGTCTGCATGAAGATGAAATCATACGATGGTAACTTCATTTTTAAAGTAACTTGGCACTTTCAGTAATGTAAGGCTGTAAAGTGTTGATACATTTGCATGAAAATGTATAAGGCAATGCATCACGACTACAGTAAATTTGTTTGTTGGAATGGTTTGTTTGTGTTTTTGTTCCACTAAATAACACATTTTGAGCATTAATGCAATATGATCACTGAGGTTTGTTATAGATTATATAAAAACAGACTTTAAACTAAATCTACATATTATCGATTCTCTAGATTGCAAGCTCACAGGCTTTCTTGCATAGTATCTTGCAGGAGGTTTGTAGCCCAAAGACATGACTATGTTCTCCTTTTTATCTAATTATATATACCCCTGTCTGCATAATAAAAATGTTATTTTTGCAAAAATTTTTTTTAACTTTCTGTAAAAGAACTATATAAGAAATGTCAAATAAATAAATAAATCTCATTTTTTTACAAGTCCAGAACCTACAAACTACTGGAAGACAACAAACACACACACACACACACACACACACACACACACACACACACACACACACACACCCTCCCCCCCCAAAGAAAAGAAAGCATACAAGTCATTCCATATTCCATATGCCATTGGCTACTGATAATCATGCTGATCTCCCTCTTTAACAGACAATTTTCATAAATTTTTGCACACTTTCTCCTTAGTGTGTGATATCAACGCATGCCAAATAAGATAAGATCAACTGATAATACATTTTCCTAAAATTTGATAATAAACCATGATAGCTGACATTTAATCCTAAGGCCTCAGGCTTTAACATTAAGTGATAAGACTATATTTCTACTTGTCTCATCAGATAACCGTACTTACTGTATGTATACATTATTTGAACATTCTAATGGCATTTTTGAAAAGTTGCAATTGTGGTTTTTTTTTTTTTTACATATAACCATAGGTAAGGGGTTGTTTTGCTTCCATGCCAATATTTCAGACCCTGACAAGTAATACAATGGAATCCGTAAAATATTTTATCTCCCCACTACTTCTACTATGTATAAACCATACACATGTAAAATACGATATATATATATAATTATATATGTCTAAACTTTTTCCTGCTTGCTATTTATGCCAAGTTTTAAATTAATTTAAATATAAATTTGTATTTATATATAAAAAAATAAATAAAAAATAA